TTTCGTTATTTATTTATTATATTTAAAAAAACAATGTTCAATTTCATGATTATTTTTTTTACAAATAAAACAATATTTCATTTTTTTACATAGTCCAACATGTTTTTTATCACACCAAGAACATTTGTTATATAAACAATCTTTGAAAAAATGTTCATTTGAGTAGCAAGCGAGACAGTATTTTGCTTTAAATTTACAGTCTTTATAAAAATGTTCGGTTGAACAACAAGCTTCACAATATGGTTTAATATTTTTAAACGGGTCATGATAGTAATCATGAATTATTTTTTTAGGAGGTGGTCCCCAATTACTGTAATTATTTTAATTTTTAAAAAAAAAATTTGATAATACGTAACAAAAAAAAAAACACAAAAGACGATACCTCATAATAAAGACGATGATTGCTAAAAATAAACCACCATTGGAAAATTGGATATTTATAACTGTTATATAATGCAATTATATAATCTGATAGATATAAAAAAAAACATTGTAAAAATTTCATTATATATAATTAAAAAAAAAACTAAATAATTATACATTGAAGATTTATTCCAAAAAAATAATTAGATATAAAAATAAAAAATAAAATTGTTATTATCGTGTAAGTTACATGTTTTAATAAATCAAACAGGATATTTTTTAAAAAATTATTTTGTTTATTTTTAATTTCTTCTAAAAGTTTATTGATTTGTCCCTTGAGTTCATTGTTTTCTTCATTGAGTTCTTTATTATCTTTTTCTAGTTTCTTGATTTGTTTTTTATTTTCTTCGATTATGTTTTTGATATTATCGACTAAAAGTACTTTTTCCTCTTTATTATCCATTTATATTTCAATGTTTTCAAAAATATTTCCTATTTTTTGTTCTAGTCTTGGATCTTCTTCTCTTTTTATTAGTATTTTGAAAACGATGTCTAGAAAATGTTGTTTAGTGATTGTATTGCTATTTATAAAAAAATCATTGTCACGTTCGATTGTTGGATTATATTTGGTGAAATAAGTTGGATCCTGATATTTATAAAAATTATTTACTAATAAATTATATAGTTGATTGATTTCTTCATCGGTCGATTGAACAATCTCTTTATAGACTTTTATTATCGCCGCTACACATATGTTTGCATCAAATTTTTCAGATGAGCCCGATAAGTAAAAGGGGTGTACTTTTGGAATCTGCGCGTGTGTATAGTCAAGATCTTTGAGTTTTTCTACGTTTTTCTTTTCTTCTTCTTCTTCATCTTTTCTTTTACGTTTTTTATCATCTTTTTTAAATAAATTATCGACAAAATTGAGTACTGAGGATATTTTTTCTTTTAGTTAATTTTTATCTAACTGTTCTTTGTATATTTCAATAATTTCGTCTCGAAGATCCTTTAGAGTTTTTTTATTTTTATCATCCAGTTTTTCTATTTCATGATCAAAATATTCATCATCTTTCAACAGTTCAATATCACTATCTGGAAAGTTTACAATGTAACTGGAAATTATTTTTCTTGTTATATTTTGAGGGAGATTAAATTTATCTTTTAATAAATCAAATGCTTGGTCAAAGTTTTTAACTTGGTTATTAGTTGGCAATGATAAAAGTTTAGCTTCTAATTCTTTTCTCAATTTTTCTAAATCCTCTTTATTTTTTGGAGGTGTTAGATATTGTTAATCTAGTGCTTGTATTAGTATATCGTACATGTCTCTGTCTTCAAAGTGTGATTTAATTGTATCCGTTTCCATGTTTTTTTTTATGCTATCATATAATAAATTGTTAAATCGAAGTTTTCTTAAGCTATCTAATGTAAATTTATTTTTTTCGGGAGATAATAAAGTTTCATTCATAGCGAGTATGTTTTTTGCTAATTGTCTATCATTTGATAGTTGTTGAAACCAATTCCAACAAGAATAATTTTCAATCGATTCGTTGTAATCTTCGTATTTTCTTAATTCTCTTTCTTTCAAGATTGAATCAAGTTTTCCTCTTCTTTCTTGTTGTAATGTTTCAGTTCTTCTACCTTTACTCAAAAATACATCTTGTAATTGTCTGATTCTATGATTGATTGGACCAGCATCATTAAGTTGTCTATAATATTTCTCATCAATAGTTTTGATTTCTTTACTTATTTGATCATAATATTCATCAGATAAGAAATTTATTCTATCAGTTCTATGTATATCCAATTTAACTTTTTGGTCCTGGTTTAGATTTGGGCTATTTTTAATTTGTAGATACCAATATCCGTTAGTGTATAATTTATCCAACGATGTTTCCCTTGATATTCCGCTCCATAGTTCATTGTAATCTTTTGATTCTTCTTTCTTTTTAAGTTCATCGATTCTATTTTCTCTTATTGTATCGAGATTGTTTTTATCTTCCGGTGCAAAATCTGAACTTTGTATTTGATTAGCCCAGTAATCTTCCAATTTTCCAATATCAGTTTCGTTTTCTATATCATTTTGCATCTGGTTGTAATTATTTATGTAATTTACAATGTAATCAAGTCTTTTTTTTCTTCTTTTGTTAAGATCATCTGATAATGTTTTAGGTAATTTTCCGTTGATTATTTGTGTTTGGCAATAACCTAGATCTCTTAGTTTAGCAACATCTGTTTCTTTGCCGATTCCATTTTAATCGATTATTTTAATCATTTTTACAAATTTAAAAAAGAATTAGGTGATCTTAACTCTTTAATGTTTGGTACTAGGTTCAATGCTAGGTTAGGAAACCCCGGAATTCCATTATTTATGACTAATTTTAAAATTGAATCAACGTGGAAACCCGATTTTGACTCTCGTAATCCATTAGGCAATGTACTTGAGTTGATAAAAAAATGTTGCAAAAAAAAGGATGAGATGGAAGTGGATGAATTATAAAATTATATAAATAAACTCTGAATTTTTTTTTTTTTTAATTTAATAATGAATTTCTATAAAATATTTTTCATCTTGTTTTTCGTTAATATTGTTTACTGCGTATGTACAAAACATCCTAGATATAGAAATGAAGTTAGAGTTGTTGTAGAAGAACGACTGCCGCAATTATACACTTGGGATTTTGTCAAAGAACGATATAAATGCATTTTAAGAACAGACGGTAAAATGTGTAAAAGATATAACGGAGGTCTATTTCTCCAAAAATTTAATCCTAAAGGAAAAGCGATATACGAACCTGTTCATAAACCTAAAGGAATATTCGGAAAAATGAAAAGACCCAGAACATAATTTCATAGATAATAATTTATTAATCAATTATTCTAAAAATATATAAATAAAGAACTTTATCTTTTATAAAATATCAATAGCAGAAATTAGATGTAGTTACAGAGGAAAAAAATTTAAAAATTGTGCATATAATAAAAAAACAATAAAAAAAAAATACAAACCAACTAAAGAAGATGAATTACTAGAATACTTTGTTTCTGGTATAGCAAGAATAAATCATCAAAACAAAAATAAAACTCCTGATATTTACAATAAAATAAAAGAAGAAATAGAAAACACATTTGATCTCAGTAAATTGGCAGAAAATGGTCTAATCGATAAAGAAATTCAAAATGCTAAATTAGATGATAAACAGAAAGAACAATTACAAAAACTTCGAATGATCAAGAATCAATAGTCCTAAGATACGGAACTCTAAAAAATGGAATCGACAAAGAAACAGATGTTGCTAACCTAAGAGATCTAGGTTATTGGCAAACACAAATAATCAACGGAAAATTACCTAAAACATTATCAGATAATCTTAACAAAAGAAGAAAAGAAAGACTTGATTACATTGTAAATTACATTAATAATTACAACCAGATGCAAAATGATATAGAAAACGAAACTGATATTGGAAAATTGGAAAATTACTGGGCCAATCAAATAAAAAGTTCAGATTTTGCACCGGAAGATAAAAACAATCTCGATACAATAAGAGAAAATAGAATCGATGAACTTAAAAAG